AACAAAAAAAAAAAAAAAAAAAGGGGAAAAAAACAGGGAAAAAGAAACTTTCCAATCCCCTTTTTTAAATTCTTTAAATTTTAATCTTTTCCTAAAAAAAACATTTTAAACATTCCAATTAAAAAAATTGCATCTTTTCTTTTGTTGCCTTTAAAGTTCCTAATTTTAATTAATTAAATAAAAGTCTAGTAAATCAAAAATACATATAAAACTATGTGGTAAATATATAGTAGAAATGATTTTTTTTTGTACAGTTTTGTTATTAGGAAGAGAAAAAGCAATTAATTTTTAAAAGGTTTTCTAATATAATAATTTGGTGGTTTGAATTTATTCCATATATATTTTTTTCGTTAGTGACTTTTTTTAAAATGAAAAATGTTTGGAAATTAACCATTTTAGTACGTTTTTTCTTATTTTCCAACATTTATATTTACTAAAAAAGATTGTTGAATGGTATACAAAAAATAAACTCATTTTTCCTCAAAATTTGTCTCAAATCTAATCAATGATCTACATTTTTAATAACTTATAAAATACCATTCAGCAAATACATGGCAAAGTTTAAAAAATTGAACCGAGAATAGACTTAACATTAGTTAAAACAAATTTAATCAAACTTGATAGATACTTTAGTAGACCATTTCAAAGTCTGCAACCAGTTTCGGAAAAGTTTCAAAGTTTCAAAGCAAGCTGTCATTTCAAATAAGGAGAGAGTAATATTATGGGATTGAAAGAAAGCAATTTTCTTCTATTATATAATATTTTACATTTATTCAATTAATCGAGAAAAGAAATATAAAAGAGAATATGCAAGATGCGATTGTACTTAAGGAGGTTTTTCATGTTTCAATATGATGCTCCCAAAACTACAAAATACTAATTGAAATATCTTAAAATCAGTGTATAGGTAGTTGATTGCAATAAAAACTACACCTCTGTGAAAGTAACTTGAACACACTGGAATAACAAAGTACACAAAAACGAGAGCGCTCCAATTTTTTTTTTTTTTTTGAAGAATAATTGGGAATGTAATAAATAATTTTTTTGTGGTTAAGGTATTAGCATGTTCGTAATTATTGGCAACTCCTTTCCTTGAGAAGTTTGGCTGTGTTTCTTCTTTATTTTATATTACCGTCGTCTCTTTCCTTTTTCTTAAATAGTTTGTGAACTTAAATGAATGATGAGTTTGGAATTGGAGGCCATATAGTGGCCATTTTTGCCTGTCTGTTAGAATGTTTGGGTAAATGATATATGAGAGTGTTTTATTGAGAATTTGTTTTTGTATTTGGAGATTTTAATGTGTGTCGTTTGGCCGAAATGGCTGCCAGACATTTGTTTTCCCAAAATTCAATATGTAAGAATAGGTATCACTTACCCTTTATTACAGTAGTGCTTTGTATTCCAATAAATGAACTTAGTGAATTTTTACATTTATATATAGTTACACACCTTATATAATAGAAATATACTTAGTTATTAGTAAGTATTGTAAATTGAGACATTACCAATTAGGGCATGTTTTAAGGATGATTTAGACTAATGCAATTATCCTGAACACGGACCCTTATAAACACAATTGTTTAATTAGGTAAAAAAAAATGCAAAATAATCGAGGATTCGGATGTACTGGGAGTAGGTTTCGAGGTCAATGGGAATATTAAGACAAGAGTTTCTAGCAAGGGATGTGGAGGCGTTTATACAGTTTGCAGTTGTAATGCCAGTTTGTAATTGGATGGTAAATGAAGTTGAGGTGTCCATGTAATCACAAGAGCTGTCGAAACTCGAGCCCTCTTAGAACATCGATACAGTGAAGACTTCCATTGTGCAACATGGTTCGTGGAGAAAAATATGATTACGATGGACTACACATGGGTGAAGGCCGAGTTTGCCCGATAGGCAGTCAATCCATCTCATTCCGGTGAAGTGTTAGCTAGTTCGACCTTATCAATTTTCTAACCTGTATGGTAATCAATGCAATGATGATGGGTAATCGTGCGAAGTAGAGGTACACTAATGTGAGATGGATAATCATGGAGGAGAATCGCCAAACGTAGGCAGCACAAATTTGTTTGACTATAGCTAAGTGCAGCTAACAGACTGAATCTGTGGCCTGGGATGCCAGAATCATTCAGTTCTGTCTGCTTTTGCACGATTTACTACACATGAAAGCGGAGCACCATTTTTCACGACAGGTTGTTACGAATGATTTTTGTGCGTTAGCAAAAATAAAATGTTGCGCTGAAGGCCATCTCAAGTGGTTGAAGAATTTTTATCGACAAAGAAAAATTAGTTTCGGGGGTTGGACTACCGGTAAGATGAAAAAATTGATTGTTGTACAGTAATAATTGTACAACTGATTCTGGGTTGTTTGAGCATGGGAATTACCAGGCAGAAATGCCAAGTATTTGGTAAGTCTTTCCAAGCATAGGTCAACGGCGAGGTCAAGGGACTGGTAGAAAGAACAGAAAGAGAAGGCTTTCAAGCCAGATGTATTTATTTCACTCTTATTCTCGCCATTCAACGAATTATATGCGACCTA